TGTATTGACACCAAAAACGTTTTACAAAGTCAGATTTTGGATACAATGAAAAATATTAATCAAATACAGTTATTTCTGCCAAATTCGACTTGCTTTGGTATTTTCCCGCCAAATTCAGAAGCGATTTGGCATTTTCCCGATAAATTCAAAAGTGATTTGTCATTTTCCCGCCAAATACAAAGGCAGTTTGGCTTTTTCTCGCCAAATTAGGCATGTTCCCGCCAAATTCAGAATCGATTTGGCATTTTCCCGCCAAATTAAAAAATGAATAGGCATTTTCCCGCCAAATTCAAAGGCGGTTTGGCTTTTTCCCGCCAAATTCAGAAGCGATTTGGCATTTTCCCGCCAAATTCAGAATCGATTTGGCTTTTTCCCGCCAAATTCAAAGGCGGTTTGGCATTTTTCCGCCAAATTAAAAAATGAATAGGCATTTTCCCGCCAAATTCAGAAGTGATTTGGCATTTTTCCACCAAATAAAAAAAAATATATATTTTTATTCAAATTTCGTTTTTTTATTTCTTGGCGAACGATTCAAAGAGGCTGAAAGGCCTAAATTTAAATCAATAATGTTTTTTGGGAAAAAAAGGAAAAGACTTAATCGAACACTGAACAGCTTAATGTAGGATTGAAAGACATCAAAAAAAGGATTTAAAAGCTTAACAAAGGCAATAAGAACCTTAAAAGACCCCAAAAGAAGAATTTAAAAGCTTAAAAAAGATACCGAAAACCTTTATTGCAATTATAAGCTTAATAAAGGCATCAGAAATCTTGAAAAAAAACAATAAAGGATTTAAAAGCTTAATAAAGGCATCGAAACCTTTAAAAGACCCCAAAAGAAGGATTTAATAGCTTAATAAATGCAATAAAACCTTAAAAGACCCCAATAAAGGATTTAATAGCTTAACAAAGGCATCGAAAGACCTAACAAGGGATTAAAAAAAAAAAAAAAGATTTACAAACTTAATAAAGGATTTAAAAGCCTAAATAAGAGACTGAAAGACAACCAAAGAGATTTAAAGGCCTAAATAAGGCATCGAAAGGCCCAAATAAGAGATTGAAAGGCCTAAATAAGAGACTGAAAGACAACCAAAGAGATTTAAAGGCCCAAATAAGAGACTGAAAGACAACCAAAGAGATTTAAAGGCCCAAATAAGGGATTGAAAGGCATCGAAACGCCCAAATAAGATTAAAAGGCCTAAATAAGAGACTGAAAGACAACCAAAGGGATTTAAAAGCCTAAATAAAGGATTGAAAGGCAACAAAAAGGATCGAAAGGCCCAAATAAGAGATTGAAAGGCCTAAATAAGAGACTGAAAGACAACCAAAGGGATTTAAAAGCCCAAATAAAGGACTGAAAGGCAACAAAAAGGATCGAAAGGCCCAAATAAGGGATTTAAAGACGTAAACAAGGGACTGAAAGACAACGAAAGGGATTTAAAAACCTAAATAAGGGATTTAAAAGCTTAACAAAGGCATCGAAAGACCTAAAAAGAGGATTGAGACATCAAAAGCCATCGAAAGGCCCAAATAAGGGATTTAAAAGCCTAAATATGAAATTTATAAGCCTAGAAAAGGAATTGAAAGGCATCAGAGGGCATCGAAAAGCCCAAATAAGGCATCGAATGGCAACAAAAGGCATCGAAAGACCCAAATAAGGCATCAAAAGGCCTAAAAAAAGGCATCGAAAAGCCCAAATAAGGCATCGAAAAGCCCAAATAAGGCATCGAAAGGCCCAAACAAGGCATCGAAAGGCCCAAATAAGGGATTTAAAGGCCTAAATAACGGCTCGAACGGCCCAAATAAGGGATTTAAAGGCCCAAATAAGGCATCGAAAGGCCTAAAAAGGCATCGAAAGGCCCAAATAAGGGATTTAAAGGCCCAAATAAGGGATTTAAAGGCCTAAATAACGGCTCGAACGGCCTATGACAAGACTGGATCGCATGAATGAAAAATATAGACCAAAAGCCTTATTAAAAAAAGTTGATCCCAAAAGTTAATTCGGATAAACGAAGTCTAATAAAGACTTACGATAAAGATATTCACTAGATATTCGGATATTAATTCGGATAAACGAAGCCTTATTAAAAACATTGATCCTAGAAATTAATTCGGATAAACGAAGCCTTATCAAAAAGGTTTATCCAAGAAGTTAATTCGGATAAACGAAGCATCATTAAAGAGTTGATCCTAGAAATTAATTCGGATAAACGAAGCCTTATTAAAGAGTTTATCCAAAAAGTTAATTCGGATAAACGAAACCTTATTAAAGAGTTTATCCAAGAAATTAATTCGGATAAACGAAGCCTCATTAAAAAGTTGATCCAAGAAGTTAATTCGGATAAACGAAGCCTCATTAAAAAGTTGATCCAAGAAGTTAATTCGGATAAACGAAGCCTCATTAAAAACATTGATCCAAGAAATTAATTCGGATAAACGAAGCCTTATTAAAGAGTTTATCCAAGAGGTTAATTCGGATAAACGAAGCCTTATTAAAGAGTTTATCCAAGAAGTTAATTCGGATAAACGAAACCTTATTAAAGAGTTTATCCAAGAAATTAATTCGGATAAACGAAGCCTCATTAAAGAGTTGATCCTAGAAATTAATTCGGATAAACGAAGCCTCATTAAAAACATTGATCCAAGAAATTAATTCGAATAAACGAAGCCTTATCAAAAAAGTTGATCTTGGAAGTTGATCTTGGAAGTTGATCCTGGAAATTGATCTTGGAAGTTGATCTTGGAAGTTGATCTTGGAAGTTGATCTTGGAAGTTGATCTTGGAAGTTGATCTTGGAAGTTGATCTTGGAAGTTGATCTTGGAAGTTGATCCTGGAAGTTGATCTTGGAAGTTGATCTTGGAAGTTGATCCTGGAAGTTGATCCGAGAAGTTGATCTTGGAAGTTGATCTTGGAAGTTGATCTTGGAAGTTGATCCTGGAAGTTGATCTTGGAAGTTGATCCTGGAAGTTGATCCGAGAAGTTGATCTTGGAAGTTGATCTTGGAAGTTGATCCTGGAAGTTGATCCGAGAAGTTGATCTTGGAAGTTGATCTTGGAAGTTGATCTTGGAAGTTGATCCTGGAAGTTGATCTTGGAAGTTGAT